AGAGTGAAAGCCACAAAAGCAAGGTTTAGACAAACATCTACATCTTTTGACTCACCATAGGTTAGCCAATGTTTAAAGTTCATGATATTAAGCCCCTTTACAACTCAAAATATAGACAATAATAAAGATTAAATAGAATGAATTAAAAATGAACTAAAGAACACGGCTGATTCAAGAAGTAAAATTGAAGAAACAGCTTAGTTTACCCACAAGTCAATCGTCTCAACATGCTTCAAGCAAGTTAGAAGGATAGGCAATAAAAAATATAAAAAGTTATTTTGTTGGTGCATAATTCTTTCTACAGGAGGACCTGTTTTCACTAAATATGGAAATGAGAAAAATGTTTCAATAATTAAGCAACAATACCATTCTGTGAAACATTCTCAGTGCTTTTCCACTTTATTTAGAGAATTATGCCAAAGATTGACTCATGTAACATGCATATTATAACTAGAATTATTACAGAAAGAAAATTCATGGGCAGATATAGTTATTCAATTGAATTTCTTCATCTTTATCATCAAACATAATATACTATCATGTATATGAGAAAAGAATTAATTTCCTATCCTCTTCTTAGTTTTAAAATAGCAACAAAAAAATCTTATCTATTTGCTGGCATGGTGAAAGCATGAAGATTGCTAGTGAGTAGTTACAAATTATTAATCATATAACCCAGACTGAATGATGATTAATTATAACAATTGCTGTGAGATACAACAGCATTAAATATGTTACTTTCATCCTGATATTTTCCCCCTAGTGGATACCTTTGAGATGTTGTTTATACAATGAAGAGGTTAAGTAAATTATCCTAAAGGTTGTTTTGTTTAAATAACTTTCTGTAACTTTTAATTGTCAAATAGGAAAATGACAGAAGGAGGAAAAGTAAATGGATATTAATTCCCATTTATATGATTTCAAAGTATGTAGATTTTTTTTAATGTTTTTAAATTTTTTTGAAAATTGCTAATTAACAAAACAATGGCTTGTTTTTGTTGAGAGAAATAAGCATCACTTAGAAAATTCTAAGGCTAGGTGAAGTATGTGAATGAATTAAAAGTTGTTCTCTAAAATAAGTATCAGCCTAAAACAAAAATCCTGTTTATTAAACATCTGTGTACATTTCCATATCACCCACCCAAATATGGAAGGCTTAAAAGAATACAACTATGTATGCTGTTAAAAATACTTTAGACTTATAAGTCAATTGTCAATATAAAATCCTTTGAACTTTGGCTCCCAGGAGAACCCTGCATTTATTATAGATGGCATATGAATTGGCTGGGCTTCCCACGTGGCTCAGACAGTGAAGAGTTAGCCTGCAGAGCAGGAGACCAGGTTCAGGCCCTGACTCACGAAGATCCCCTGGAGTAGGGGGTGGCTACCCACTTCAGTATTCTTGCATGAAGAATCCCATGGATAGAGGAACCTGGCGGGCTACAGTCCATGGGATCACAAAGGGTCACATACGACTGAGTGACTAACACTTCCACTTTCATGAAGTAGTTATAAATTAGCCAAATTCATGTTTGGTGTATTGAATTTAGATTCAGAAATGGTTTGGAGATTATTGAATGGTAAAATGTAAGCTTAAAAGGATGAATATTTTAGGTGAAACTTTATGAAAATATATATACACACATAGGGGAATTGAAAAGTCAATGAAATAATATTTTTTAAAAATCTGCGTATCTGTTTCTAATTTAATGTTCTAGATTCTTTCAGTGCCAACTTATTACCATACTGTGACATAAGATTATATTTTACAGTAGATAGCATATATAAAAAGCAGTATGCCTATTTTATTTAACTGTGTGATGGAAGTCACTATACAGCATGTGAGCTTAAGTAGAGACTATATTACTATATTGAATATTATTTTCCTAAACAGATATTTCAGAGAGGATAGAGCTTTAAGAAATAGTTGTATTTAACATACACTCGGAATACTTGTTGCAGGAAATAATCAAATTTTTATAATTTTGTTTTACATAAGAAGAAATGTCTAACCCCTGTACATCAGTCATTCAAGTAGAATTTAGTTTGAAATTATTGAGAAACTACTTTTTGTCAAGTATATATCAAATACTTACCTATTGAAAGAATATCTTCTATTTTAGAATATAGCATAAACTGACCTCCAATGGAAACTTTATAAAATAATTCCATGTATACAGGTACTACATTGCTTCCAACCATGAAGCCTCATCTGTTCAACCAAAATAGTATACATATATATTTATTACTGGGCTTCCCTGGTGGCTCAGTGGTTAAGAATCTTCCTGCAATGCAAGAGACCCACATTCAATCCCTGAGCCAGGAAGATTCCCTGGAGAAGGGAATGGCAATCCACTCCGGTATGCTTGACTGGAAAATTCCATGGACAGAGGAGCTTGGTGGGCTACAGTCCATAGGGTCACAAAGAATCGGACACAACAGAGCGACTAACACTTTTTTCACATTTTTCATATTTATATCTGTCCTAAATTTATATTTATTTTCATATTTATATTCTAGACCTCACAAAGGGTATTAATACAAGGCAGAAAAATCAATTATTTGTTATTCTTAATAGTTACCTTGAGTTACTTTTTAAAGTAATACAGTACATAAATACATACATAAATGTTTTTGTACAGATAATCAAAACACAGTCAATTATTTTAAAAAGAAAACAAGCAAAAATATACACTTGGCAATTAGTTTTTGAATCTAGAATTTGTGGTCCATTCTTATTTCATTTGCATACACAAGTAACAATATACAAGAATAAGCAAGAAGATATACTAGAACACCACGTGTATGTATTTTCGCTCAGCAAACTTGCATTGTTACATTGCAAAGCAAAAGCTGTATGAAATGCATTAAAGCAATCCCATATCATCCATATTTCTCAACAAATTACATATGTTCAGAAATATTTCTGCATGTGTTTAAACCGTCCAGGACTAAAGTAATGATATCATACATGGGGAGAGCAGCTTCTAACCAAAATACTTTTGTATCATGCATACACCCACACACACAGCACTGGGGATAAGCATTTATGGCAGGGTGCGGTGGTGTGTGATTGGCACACAGCAGGCTAAAACAGTGTGGGGTGGGGAAATTTGGATACAAGTGCGGATGTGTATTCTTTCATAGTATACAAAAAGGATTCCTTGTACCTTTATAGGGGAAAAGGTAAGGTGTAAAAGATCGCATGCAGTGCCTAGGCCAAATGCTAAACCAAGTTAAAACTTTCCCCGGAATAATGTTTATCAGTGTAAGGCCCTTTGTTATGTGAAGTTTTCTATAATGGGGCAATATTATTTACTGCTTCTTCTGCTGAATTAAAATACTATAAAAAACATGCAAATCAGTACTCATAAAAAGAAAGGGTATTCAGTTAATTTTTAAACTTATCTTGATTATATTAATTTAATAATTTAGATTGCTCAGACTGTCACTAAGCAAAGTAGATACTTTTGGTTTTTTTTTTAATGATGAATTCATTTGGCCCAGAGGGCTATAGGTTGAGAAAAATTGTTTTCAAAAGTGAAAATGATCAACCTTAATTATCATCAACCTGAATGATAATTAGAATGTTATAAAAATAAATGTGATGCATATATTTCTAATCAAATGTATTTGCATTTATTGTATTTGTAAAATGTATTTGCATTTTCTTAAATAATATAGTTAGTAAACCATATTGTTTCTTTTTTAAAAAATAAGTATTTATTGAATGCTAGCAAAGGAAATCTGTATCTTCATCAGAGTTATTTTTGCACTGTTTTGTCATGCAATATATAATTGAATATATATTTCATACTAACACTCCTTATGTACTGTTTAGTTACTGAAAATTTAAATGTATACCTCTCCCAAAGAGGCAACTATGTGTCATTATGAAATTTCAAAGCAATGAATTTTTTTTTAATTAGGATAACTGCATAAAACTAATTGGATCATGTGAATTTTCCCCCCAGGGATGAAAATTGAAGTATGTAGTTACAGCGGGAACAACTATGAAATTTTAGTAGAAAAGAAAAATAGTAGAGGGAGTATTATAATATAGGAATATAATTAATAGCTACTTTAAAATAATCTTTGATCTAGACACTTGTTATGAAATTAAGATCACTTCACTATTCATCTAACAGTATGTCTGTTGTGTATTCACCTAGTTATGTCTATGCTTAACTGAGATTTGTGGTAAAAATCATCAGGAGAGGTAGTTTTTAATATACTTTATTCCAGAAATTTTAATTTAGTAGACTGGCTGTTTGAATATGATTTCCCAAGCTAAATTCTTGGCTTTGAGTATATTTAAAATTTAATCGGAGTGATATATTATGATCTCCAAGTCAAATCACTAATATGCCCTACTGTAGATTATATTTCTACACACTGAACCATTCTAATTGGAGGTGTGTCCTTGTGATCTATTTTTAATCAAATATTTTTAAGGATGCTGAAATCAAAACCAAAATCATTCATTTACTCTAAAGAATCTCAACATTTCTTAACATTAAAAATAGTTTCTAAAGATACATAAGTTGGAGAGAGCATTTTATTTTTGCCTTATTTTTAGGTCTCTGTTTTCTGGCAAGAGGAGCTGTTTTTAGAACTTATTTGTACAAATAAACGTCCTATCTATTTTGCAACTATTTTTGTCAAAGTGTATGAATATTTTCTCTGCAGAGAATATTATAAGATACATGTGATATTTCTGTTTAATATATATTTAAAAATTATTTCGACCAAACAAATAACTCAGTTCATAGAATGAAAGATAACATTTCAAATTTTTTATATTGAGTGAAGAGAGACAAAGGGAATTGTTAGAAAAAGAGAATATCCTTAGCTGAAGGGGATTGGCGGTTGTTCAGCTCTAAGTGTGCAGGGGTCAGTGTTTCCCCACCCAACACTGCCTGAGTGCAGAGGATGCTGTCTGCTTTTTATTTAAACTGATGACCACATTCTTCTACTTAGAGTTAAGAAAATGAATTTACCGTGTCTGAGAAACGGTAAAACTTCTCCAATGCAAAAGCTTCTGTCTGTGGGAAGGTAAAGTGGACCAACAGGGATTGAGAAACCAGAGAATCAAGTCATAGATGGTTAAAATATAATTGCACAATTGGTTTTCATTGCACAGATCATCTAAACAAATGTATATATCAATTAATAGTTTCTCACATACACAAGATATCCAGCCCCAGAGTATGAACTAAAAAAAAAAAAAAAAAATTTCTTTACTGCACTATATCTTAATTACAATATATGTTCACTGAGTATTTCAAATGGTGATTAGAAATATAATCAGATGTTACTATTTTTGCACTTCAACACTTTTCTAGAGTGCCAGTCACTAGAAAAATTAATCTTGCTGTCTCTCTGTGAGCTAAATAATAAAGGGTGTCAAATATCTTTATCCCAATACACTTACAGGTGGTAAAACTGAATAAAGAGTTGCTGTGGTATGGATTTTTTTTTAAGGAAGAACCAGAAATGTGTGTCTAAATTTATAGAGCATTATGTTATCCATTGACATATGTGGTGGGTGCAGAAAAGGTCTGAGCTCTCATTTCCCCTTGGAACACCACCTGTGTACACCCCTCATTTCTGGTGTTGGCAGCATGTGGCTGATACATCCTACACTGAAGGAAGGAGAAGAAAGGTAGAAAAATGTAGAATGTGAAAAAGTGAATCAAAATGAGAGGGGGAACTAAGAGATGCTTTACTTTTGATTCATGATGTTGGAAGGAAAAATTGTCTTGATCAGTCATTCAGGAGGGAAAAAAGTGACCACACCTTCACTCCTGGGATACAGAATGCTCTGTCTTATCACCATGTTCAGCCTGTGCCAGGTATCATGAGAGAGAGGAGCAAATGAGAAGTAAGGGAGGTTAGAAAGAAGGGGAGGGGAGAGACGGGGAGGCAGGTGAGAAAAGTGTAAGGAGCCAGCAGACCAGGAGAGGCTGGGGCAGAAGATAAAGTTAATCTCTCCACAAAGATATATGTTAATATATAAATGATGTGCTTTAATGTTTATTAAAAATTGGTCAAATACAAGCTCTGGCATTGTTTTCTGTCAGTCGTCTTACCCAGAGTATTGCAATGCTGAAATTTCTCCCATGCTACAGTGAATCGGGATGTTTACCGGAGCAGGTGATGATTAGTATCAGTAGTATCAATTAGTATTAGTATTCAGTAGTATCAATTAGATACTACTGAATAAATTATTGCTTCTGATGTTTAAATTGAGTAGACTCAGCACTGAGAGATCATGGCTTAGGGTTTTTAAAACATTTTATAAATATATAAATTACAGTCAGTCCTTCAGAAACCATAACAAATTCCTTAAAAATTAAATTCTTAAAAATGTATGCAATATATAAACCAGACTATTCATTTTAAGATTTAAGAATGTTTCGACTTAAATATCTCAGTATATTGGATTCTGGTCACAGTTTCCCCTATAATATATGACTTTGACATTTCTCTATAGCTTGAGTCTATTTGCTTTTTTAAAATGTCAGCTGGCACATTCACATTAAACTCAAAAATAGGTTGGCTGATAGAAACTCTTTCAGAAAAGGAAAAGGGTTGATTGAAATTATGTGCATATAAAGAGAGATGACCTTATAAGTCTTATTAGAGGGAAACAACCTCATCCTGTACATCCAAATCCAATTAGAAGATTACTTCTACAGTTTCCTGTGGTCTCCCAAGGATGTTCCTGATTTATTAGGTGACAGCAAGGCAAAAATACACCTTACTGTGTTTCCAATGGGGATCCAGAAGAAATGTCTCAAAAACACAAAAATATGTATAAAAAAGAGACCACACAGCTTTATGTGAACATCAGAGTATTATAAAATAAATCGATAATGTTTGATTAAAACATTCAAGGAATTAGTTCAAAAAAAGAAAAAATTAACAGCAATAGTTGATGACTCATGTCAAGTAAAGCCATCAGAAACATTACTGCGTTACAAATAAGAAATGATAGATTTTATTAGTTGAAGCAAAAAATGATGCTATTCCAGGACAGATACTAGAAAGAAGTTGATAAAGCTCTCATGTCACCAGATCTGCTGTGTGAAGTATTGTAAAGCAGCTAGATGTTACTATTTTCTCCCTGAAGCAATTTTTGACAACGTAAGTTTCAGTTGGACAAAATCAGACAGTCATCTCTTTGAGTTCCTGTCTCCATTTTCTTTCTGTACATTCCTATTAAACATAACAAATTCACTTTACAGGGAGAATTGTATCCCAAGGAACTTCATGCATTTAATCACTTACCTTACTCCTTCTCTTTCGTCGAAATCTCAAAAGTTCTTTGTGTTGTCTTGATACAAAATTTACCGCTGCATATTCCAGAAGTGCTGAAAACACAAAAAGGAGGCACACTGCCATCCAAATATCAATAGCTTTGACATAGGAGACCTAACCAGGAAAGAGAGAGTGAGAAAATTGACTTGTTACTTCCATGGAGAACAAAAATGGACATCTGTTCCTAAATTATATCATTTATATATTAGAAATTTTTTACTTAAAATTTTTGCAAGTTTTATGTATTAGTCATACATTAAAATGTGTATTTCTTGCTAACAATTTTTTTTCAAATGAAACACTAGACCAAATGTATGATGAAAGAAAATAAGATGAAATATAATTTTATCTTCAGGGTAAGATAGTATCATACTTGAAAAGTGTGCAGTAACATTGAAAGATATCTGCAGTTTTTTAAGAAATCTCCACACTGTTTTCCATAGCAGCTGTACTAGTTTGCATTCCCACCAACAGTGTAGGAGGGTTCCCTTTTCTCCACACCCTCTCCAGCATTTATTGCTTGTAGACTTTTGGATAGCAGCCATCCTGACTGGCGTGTAATGGTACCTCATTGTGGTTTTGATTTGCATTTCTCTGATAA